GACATTAACAACTCCAACAAAAAACAAAGAAAAACAACCAATACACCAAATACATTAACAACTCCAACAAAAGACAAAGAAAAACAACCAATACACACAAATGACCATTAACAACTCCAATAACAAAGACAAAGAAAAACGTACCAATACACACAAATGACATTAACAACTCCAACAAAGACAAAGAAAAACAACCATAACACACAAATGACATTAACAACTCCAACAAAGACAAAGAAAAACAACCAATACACACCAAAATGACATTAACAACTCCAACAAAGACAAAGAAAAAACTACATAAACACACAAATGACATTAGCAAACTCCAACAAAAGACAAAGAACAAAAACAAAAGAAAAAAAAAAAAAAAAAAAAAAAACAACCATAACACACAAATGACATTAACAACTCCAACAAAGACAAAGAAAAAACAACCAAAACACACAAATGACATTAACAACTCCAACAAAGACAAAGAAAACAACCAAATCACACAACAACATTAACAACTCCAACAAAGACAAAGAAAAAACAACCAATACACACAAATGACATTAACAACTCCAACAAAGACAAAGAAAACAACCAGAATACACACAAATGACATTAAAACTCCAACAAAAAGACAAAGAAAAAACAACAATACACACACAATGACTTAACAACTCCAACAAAGACAAAGAAAAAATACCATAACACACAAATGACATTAACAACTCCAAAACAAAGACAAAGAAAAACAAACCATAACACAAATGACATTAACAACTCAACAAAGACAAAGAAAAACAACCATATACACACAAATGACATTAACAACTCCAACAAAAGACAAAGAGAAAAACTACCATAACACACAAATGACATTAGCAACTCCAACAAAGACAAAGAAAAACAACCATAACACACAAATGACATTAACAACTCCAACAAAGACAAAGAAAAAACAACCATAACACACCAAAATGACATTAACAAATCCAACAAAGACAAAGAAAAACAACCAATACACACAAATGACATTAACAACTCCAACAAAGACAAAGAAAAAACCAATACACACAAATGACATTAACAACTCCAACAAAGACAAGGGTACACTATCAAGAATAAATTAATAAAGAAGGATGTGTGTTTACCGGCCCCTAACATAATTGTATTTTTCGGGGGGAGGTTACTTTTATCTGACAAAAATTATATCTTATTAATAAAGATTGAGGAAAGATAACTAACACGTTCAGAAAAATTCTTTTTAATTCCAGTACTATGTTATCGTTTTTCAAAAATAATTTGCATACAAAATACATGTAATCATTTTGTTTACAAAATCAATGATATCAATCAACTGCATAAAAGACAAAACTGTTGCATCATACAATATCTAATATGGAGTTAGGTGCTACCTATGGCGCGGCGAAAGCTCTTTATGTGATTATTATATTTTAGCATAGCATGTTTAAGAGTACATGTAAACCAGATCTTTCTTGCACTTCATTAGTAAATGCATGTATTCAAAGCTCAAACTAAGTTAAGATTTTTCAAGTATTGTTCCAGAGTCAAACTAAGTTATGATATTTCATGTCTAGTCTTCAAGACTCAAACTAAGTAAAGATATTACAAGTATTGTTCAAGACTCAAACTAAGTTATGATATTTTAATAATAGTATTGTTCCAGACTCGAACTAAGCTATGATTTTTCAACTATTCTTCAAGACTCAAACTAAGTAAAGAATATTTCAAGTATTGTTCCAGACTCAAACTAAGAAATTTTTGTTCAAAAATCAAAACTTAGTAAATTAAGATATTTCAAGTATCTCAAAGACTCAAACCAAAGTTAAGATATTTCAAGTGTGGTTCCAGACTCAAACTAAGGTAAAGATATTTTAAGTATTGTTCCAGATGCAAACTAAGTTAAGCTGTTTCAAGTATTGTCCCAGACTCAAACTAAGTTTTGAAAAAAATTTCCACACTCAAACAAAGTTAAAAAATTTCAAGAATTCTTCTAGACTCAAACTAAGTTTAAGATGTTTCAAGTATTCTTTCAAGACTCAAACTAAGTTAAGATATTCCAATTATGGTTTCAGACTCAAACTAAGACATTTAAATTATTGTTCCAAACTCACACTTAGTAAAGTCATGATATTTCAAGTATTCTTCAAGACTCAAACTAAGTAAGATGTTTCAAGTATTCTTCAAGACTCAGACTTAGTTAAGATATTTTTAGTGTTGTTCCAGACTCAAAAATAAGTTTATATATTTTTAATTATTATTCCAGACTCAAACTAAGTAAAGACTCAAATTATGTAAAGATTTTCCAAGTGTTGCTCCAGACACAAGGTTAGTTAAGAAATTTCAAGTGTTGTTCCAGACTCAAACTCAATTAAAATATTTCAAGTATTGTTCAAGACTCAATCTAAGTTAAGATATTTCAAGTGTTGTCCCAGACTCAATCTAAGTTAAGATGTTTCAAGTATTCTTCAATTCTCAAACTTAGTTAAGATATTTCAAGTGTTGTTCCAGGATCAAACTAAGTTTAGATTTTTTAATTATTATTCCAGACTTAAACTAAATTAAGGCTCAAATTAAGTAAAGATATTTCAAATGTTGTTCCAGAAACTAGCTAAGTTAAGTAATTTCAATTGTTGTTCCAGACTCAAACTCAGTGAAGATATTTCAAGTATTGTTCCAGACTCAGACCAAGTTAAGATATTTAAAGTATTGTTCCAGATTCAAGCTTAGATAAGATATTTCAAGTATTTTTCCATACTTGAGCTAATTTTAGATATTTCAATTATTGTTTCAGACTCAAACTAAGTTAAGACTTAAATTAAGTAAAAATATTTCAAGTGTTGTTCCAGACACAAGCTAAGTTAAAGAAATTTCGATTGTTGTCCCATGCAAACTGTAAACACAGTAGTATTTTAACTTCCACACAAAATACTAAATCATTAAAACTGTTTTCAAAAATCAAAAGATTATTCAGATAAATGACCAATGAATATCTGTTTTGAAACTTTAATAGGATACCAAAAATAAAAAGCTTTTCAGATATAAAAATAAAAAAACATTTTTGAGGCCTTCCTTTAAAGCTGCACACCTTAATACCAGCAAACAAACTGTTTTAGAAATAACTCTTCAGAAAAAAAATGAACAAAGTATTATTTTGCTTTGACCAGACGTTTCAATATTTGTCGTAACAGACACACATTTCAGAATTTCAGACATGGCATTACCTTGTGAATTTATGCATCAGGTTCTACTTTTTCACAAAAGTATGCAACTTAATTATTAAACAATGGGCACATACAAAGAACATGGAGAAAAAATTGATTTGTGCTTCGGACATTCATCTGTAATAGTGGACGATTTCCAAAGCTGATTGACTGTTCACATCATTCGGCTGCGTTTTTGATGTGCTGCATCAACATTTAACTTGTCTAATGTATAAAACATCCATATCACTTGTAACACTTTGCGTTTCACTTGCAAAAGACAGAAGACGCACGGGTTGAACCACCAAATTAAAAAAAAAAACAACAATGTTATCAATACTCTTATCAAAAATTGCAGAAAATAGAATTCAGGAATACAATAAACAAATAATTACGTCTCACTCAAATAGTGGTCAGAAAGCTTTTATTCACTTGATGTCATTAAACGATTCTTTTATTATTTCTAGTATATTCTTAACTGCAATGGTTCAATTATTCTGGTTGGGTTTAACCCTTTACCTGTTGGTACGTGCACTCCGTGCCAAGGCTATATATTATCGTCTGCTCAAATTTGTACTTTGTCATTGAAATCCCATAAACTTCAAATGGACTGTTCCAAATTCTATGCAGGGCAGATCCATTACACTAATTTAGTAGGTGAATGGTTATTGACTCGACGGTACTATAATAATTTTTCAGCTTTACTGGCGGAAGAAGGTCCAAAATATCCCTCTATAAATTATTTTAGAAACGGTGGGGCACTCGAGTAGAACCACCAATTTTCTCTGCCAATTAACCTATAGCTGTGGATCACCTCTGTGGATCATCTCTGCACATGAAACTATTCATGAAATCAAAGTCGCTGCCCATAATAGTGAAAGAAAGCGGGGGTGAAAATGATTTGAAGTCAATGAATTCATTCAACCACTCGGTAACGGGCGCCCTTTATTATAACTAAAACTTACAAAAGTTTTATCAAATTTGAATAATGAAGAAAAATGTTCGATACAAGTGTAGGTGTGTATGTATTTACTTAGCCAAATCAATTCATGACTGAATAACAACAACAGCAGTAACTGCTTCTGTGTTAAGCAAAGACATTTTTTTTTTATAAACCCGAACATTTTTCACAATGCGTACTGTTTCAGAACCAAATGAATACACGTCTCATTCAAGAGCTATAAACAAGCCTTAAAGCTGCACGCCTCCAGATGAACCAAAAATATTTCGAGAAAACAAACTCAAGAAAAATGTACTCAGATTTTAAGATAAGTAAAAAGATTTAAGATTCAAGTAATTATTTATGTGCTAAATGTCTTTAACGACCGAAGTCGCAGTTCTTATCACTATATTTCTAATGCGTGACTAACGCAATGGCTATTATTGTATATTTTGGCCTTTTTGGTAATGTAAGTAGACTGTAAATGCTGTTTGTAATGTGTAAATTACTTTCCTTGTTCACTGCATTATATTTTTCTTTTTTCGATAAATTTTCAAAATTTACATGAAGAATGGGCATGAATCTGGAGGCATGCTACTTTTACCTGCGGAAATTATTAAATGGACTTTTCAACATTTTATTAAAGGAACAGTCCATTATAAATTATTATAACTAATTATCACATGAAAATGAAAATTGGAAGTTAGCAAACAGTTCAGAGGCTGGTAAAACTGCACAAATGTGCAGGCTGGCCGGGCTCTATTCTGGAGGTGAATACTAATAACTTTCGCTTTCAGCAGGCTAAGAAACAAATCTATACATATATTCATTAAATATACTTTTACCTCATCATCATCAGTAGGTTCCAGTTCTGTGATAAGGATGTAACATGCCAAGATCAGTTTGCCGGTGCTCATTTCATATCTTTTGTTCTTTCTTAATTTCAAATCCTGAAACTGAAATATAGGTTAATTTTTTTAATATCTATTTATAGATTGGAAATTAAGATGTTATCGGAGTGTCACAATCAAAGTCACCAGATCATTTCAAAATAAGCATTATGCATTAGAAATAATTATGACATTTTATAGTATAATATTATCATAATAGGAGATATTTTTATCTCCCTTCTTTGTAATACATTCATGATTATCTCCCTTCCTTCGGCACAATCACTAATGTAGTGCCGATATCTTTACCTATTCGTGAATTTAGTTATTGAATGTATAAATTTTGTTTTGTATTTAGATTGTTATACTTTAAGGAAGCGAGTGATCTTGGAAAGAATAGTTCTTTATATTATGTTCAGTTTATTTTTATTCTAGAAAAGCAACAATAATTACAACAAGAGCTGTCGGTAGGACAGCAACGCTCGACTATTCTTAGTGCTTGATAGTAAAAAAATGCTTGATACAGTTACCTCCTCCTGTTTACAGGTTGGGGTCATGATGGTGAATAAGTGTGCAATGTTTCAAAGCCATATGTCAGTGGACTTTGAAAATTTTTGAGGAATTACAAAAACTTTAACATAAATTCTAAGTAGAAAAAGGGGCATAATTCTGTCAAAATGTTTGATACAGTTATCTCCTCCTGTCTACATGCTGGAGTCATAATGGTGAACAACTGTGCAAAGTTTCAAAGCCATATGTCAAAGGACTTTGAAAATATTTGAGGTATTACAAAAACTTTAACATAAGTGGTTACGCCGACGCGGACGCCGACGCCGACGCTCGGGTGACTACAATAGCTCTACTTATTCTTATCGAATAGTCGAGCTAAAAAGTCATGGTCCATCTGAAATAAACATGCTTTCAAAATACAAACATTATACTAAATTAAAAGTTGTTATTATTAATGAACTGTAATCAGTACTTTCTGATTATTTTGTTTGGTACTATATGTTGATTAACTTTCAGCCTTATAGTGCCAACATAATATACATGTACCAATGCGACAAGTGCAGACCAAACCCAGTCGGCATATCTTTGACATCTGCTCATGATCTGCACTATTCGATATTAAGTCAGTACATATTTTGAAATTTTCCCTGAAAATGAGTAATGGTTTTGTCCAGATTTGAAGATGGGCAAGTCCATTTAAAATATTTTGCAGAGTTAAAGGTGTAATCACCGACTCACAAACCCTTATCTGTAAAATGTATTGTCCTATGTTTAGCTAAATTTGTATTTCTTCAAAATATCTTTACTTACCTCGACCCTCAATTCCCTCATTTCATATACTGAACGTCAGGGTCACAACATCGAGTAGTCGACACACCGGAAGTCGCAAATTTCCATTCTAAAATTTATTGTCGTCTGCTACCTGTGGATACATGGTCGAACAAATGTTACATCTTTTTAGCATTTTGAAATATTTGTAAGTTACTTGTTTAAATTACTGAAATGTTCTTAATGGACCATTACTCAGCATTATTATGCTAATTTGATAAGAATATATTGTAAACTTAAATTATTGTTTTAAACATGACTGCTTTAAATCAAGTTGACTAAGTGGCATACATGTAATTATATAAATCAAAATCTAGTTAAAGGTGTTTAGATTATGTTTCCCGTTACACAATCATTATGAATTCTGAGGTAGGAAGTTACACACAAAACATATGCAAAACGAAGTGTTTTACGAGAACAGACGACCAAGTGACTAAAATAGCCCTTACTCGTTTTTCAAACAGTTGGGCTAAAAATGGTTCATTAGGAAACATTAGACAATAATGATATGTCAAAAAGTAGACAAGACATACGCTACAAAGTTATGATTTCCTTTTTCAAACCCTAACATGCTGAAAGCGAGGCCAGTGTAGAGCTGGGCCAGCTGTAATTTCGGGCAGTCTGATATGGTTCATGATTGCATCTGCGCGACAATTGTCGTCTGCTAGGATTCTTCCCGCCATTTTCTGCTTTACGCCTGCTCAATAAATATTTTTTTTCAATAGCATGAATTATATAGTGGTAATATCTAGAAATATACAATTTTTATCTAGCTTTGTCTTTCAAAAGTAATCCATTGATGTTTTCTAACGCCAAAAAACAAAGAACAATAATATTATGTCGCATTCTGCATCTAAAATAATCAGTATATATAATTGTTAAAAATGTCGCATACAACACCCGAATATCACTATTAGAAATGTCACGTTCTTAATCTAAAAGAATCAATGTTATCTTTAAAATATTGTCGCATTCTCCACCTATGTATTTATATAATTATCAAAAATATCAAATTACTATTAAACATCAATATAATTATACAAAATTGGGTATTGTACAGCTAAAAATTCAATATAACTGTAAATGTGTCTCCCATTTCTAACGAAATTGATATAACTATTTGAAATGATGAACAATAATAATTCGACAAATACATGTACATGTTTAACGAAATCCAAAATTTTCAAATCGATCACAATCTATCAGCAAAGAATCAACTGTCTTATCGACGACCAATTCCCAAACTATTCAGAAATAAGGCCAGAATTCGACAAAGAAAAACAACCATAACACACAAATGACATTAACAACTCCAACAAAAACAAAGAAAAACAACCAATACACACAAATGACATTAACAACTCCAACAAAGACAAAGAAAAACAACCAATACACACAAATGACATTAACAACTCCAACAAAGACAAAGAAAAACAACCAATACACACAAATGACATTAACAACTCCAACAAAGACAAAGAAAAACAACCAATACACACAAATGACATTAACAACTCCAACAAAGACAAAGAAAAACTACCAATACACACAAATGACATTAGCAACTCAAACAAAGACAAAGAAAAACTACCATAACACACAAATGACATTAGCAACTCCAACAAAGACAAAGAAAAACAACCATAACACACAAATGACATTAACAACTCCAACAAAGACAAAGAAAAACAACCATAACACACAAATGACATTAACAACTCCAACAAAGACAAAGAAAAACAACCAATACACACAAATGACATTAACAACTCCAACAAAGACAAAGAAAAACAACCAATACACACAAATGACATTAACAACTCCAACAAAGACAAAGAAAAACAACCAATACACACAAATGACATTAACAACTCCAACAAAGACAAAGAAAAACAACCAATACACACACATGACATTAACAACTCCAACAAAGACAAAGAAAAAATACCATAACACACAAATGACATTAACAACTCCAACAAAGACAAAGAAAAACAACCATAACACACAAATGACATTAACAACTCCAACAAAGACAAAGAAAAACAACCAATACACACAAATGACATTAACAACTCCAACAAAGACAAAGAAAAACTACCATAACACACAAATGACATTAACAACTCCAACAAAGACAAAGAAAAACAACCATAACACACAAATGACATTAACAACTCCAACAAAGACAAAGAAAAACAACCATAACACACAAATGACATTAACAACTCCAACAAAGACAAAGAAAAACAACCAATACACACAAATGACATTAACAACTCCAACAAAGACAAAGAAAAACAACCAATACACACAAATGACATTAACAACTCCAACAAAGACAAAGAAAAAATACCATAACACACAAATGACATCAACAACTCCAACAAAGACAAAGAAAAACAACCATAACACATAAATGACATAAACAACTCCAACAAAGACAAAGAGAAACTACCATATCACATAAACAACTCCCACAAAGAGACAAACTAAAACACCGAACCAAAATCAAATAACCCCAATCACACACAAACTCCAAAAATTGAGAAAAAAAAAACAAAACAACCAAAATCGATATAAACTAGAAATGTGTCCATAGGACACGGATGCCCCCACACGCCACTGTTCTGTCAATCTTATGACTCTAGGTCAAATATGTTTTGGACTACATGTTCCACAAGTTGAAAACTAAAAATCAACAAAGGGCCATAATTCTGTTAAATTTGGTCGCAGCAAAAATTCCTTCCTTTACAACCATCTACACATTAAGGTTGTTAATCCCTGGAAGTTTAAGCAAAATCTGCCATCCGGTTTAAGAAGAATTGCATTCACAAAATTTCTATATAGTATATAGTAAAAAACACAACAAAGGGCCATAATTTTGTAAAATTTGGTCGCAGCAAAAATTCCTTCCTTTACTACCATCTACACCTCAAGGTTGTTCATCCCTGGAAGTTTAAGCAGAATATGCCATCCGGTTTAAGAAGAGTTGCATTCACAAAATTTCTATATAGTATATAGTGAAAAAAAAACAACAAAGGGCCATAGTTCTGTTAAATTTGGTCGCAGCAAAAATTCCTTCCTTTACTACCATCTACACCTTAAGGTTGTTCATCCCTGTAAGTTTAAGCAAAATCTGCTATCCGGTTTAAGAAGAGTTGCGTTTACAAAATTTCTACATAGTATATAGTGAAAAAATCAACAAAGGGCCATAGTTCTGTTAAATTTGGTCGCAGCAAAAATTCCATCCTTTACTACCATCTACACATTAAGGTTGTTCATCCCTGTAAGTTTAAGCAAAATTTGCCATACGGTTTAAGAGGAGTTGCGTTCACAAGATTTCGGGACTTACGGACGGACGGACGGACAAGTGCAACGCTATATGCTCCCACATTGTGGGGGCATAACAATGCACAGAAAGTATCGCCAATATACATTAACATAAAACATAGTTTTCAATTTTGACAAAGAATCTTCATTTCTAAAATAAAATTTTGTAATTCTACGCAATTTCAGTAACTGACATAATACCATTTACATGTATATATGTATATCTGATTTCTTATAATGTAAAATTTTCCAAATGTGTATTGAATTAAATAAGTATGCTGTTTTAATGTTGCATAATGTGTGCTGTCCTTGTTCCACAAGCATGGACCCGATATAATATGATTACTTGCAAGTTCATTGGTTCCTTTTGAAATTTCATCTTCTGAAACTGATAAAACTAAGAAAAGTTAAAACTTTTTGTCTAAAATTAACTAGTTTCTAAAAAAAAGAAAAAGCTCGTTTCTATAAATAACTTAATTTACCTGATGCTCACTTGAACAACGTCATTTCATCATCATTGTAACACCCATGGACGTCCTCATCAAAACAACATTGTCATCAACATGGCCATCATTTTTACATAGCACACGTCAATCATCCCTGTCAATACTTTGTTAAACCTCATATGGCAACTATCATTTATTCATATCTGTATTTTGTTTTATATCATAAGCCAATTATCATAATGATCAAAAATAACTATGATCGCAAGTCACATGAAAAATTAAAAGTTTAACATGTATAATCCTTATGATAAATGCTTATTTATAATTAAAGTCCTTATTCATGGAAAATTTAACTTTGTGTCAAACAAATTGTACCTACGAAAAATATTTGATAATTAACAAATTTTATGTGATACAATGACATTTCCCGGATTTTCTGTGAAATATTTATATTTTTTCCTTAAAAAAAACGGTAACGCTTTCCCGATTTTCATGTGTTACGTTTCGGCTATATAGTTTTTATTAATAACAATATAAAATAACTTACATTGTTGGTTGATTCTAAGTTCTTCGACGTCCTAAAATAAAAGAAACAATTCCAAACCTGCCATACTTTTGTTTCCGTCACGTCCCTCTACACAAACTTCACGCCAAATGTAGCTAACAGTAAAGTGCATGGAAAATCACTCGACCATGAATCTTGAGCGCTCGGGACAATCTTGTATGTTTAACCACTGATTGATTCTCACCAAAACGACTTACTAAATAATCCGTTAAAGACGCCAGCAAAAACATTTTCCGATCTCTTTTCAGTCACACGATTTTAATTTGCTATGATTTATATAAAACTATTGTTCCCCGTCTGGATAATTCGGAAGGACCAAAAAGTTAACGTGGTTGCACACGGCCATCAAACCTGACCATGCGCGAAACAGTTTTTTATTCGTCAATTCGAGCATTAAGACGCAAGAACACATTGGAAGTTGTAACCAAATGAAATATTGAAAGAAGCCTGGGACCTTAAAGTTAAAAAAACGGTTCATAAATATAAGTTTGTTAAAGTAAATTTAATTAAAGGAGCTTTCCAATTGTGGTCTTAAAAACCTAAACACAATAAAAATACATTCTAACAATTAGAATAAACTGCCAGGAACAAATTATTCAAAAAGATGTTATAAAAAATATAGGAGATATTCAAGATTTTTCTGTAAATACACGCGATTTTATTTCAAATCAAGTGTGGTTATCCCAGAATAAAATATTCATGAGGTGGCGGGTAGCCACGAGGAAATGTGGAATAAATTTTCAATTGCCAACAAGATGGATAATAAATCCAAGTTATTATTTAGAAAAAACTTGAAATTTTCTGTTTTATTATATACATTTGTCTCTAAATTTTTAAATTACAATTAGAAAGACTATTTCCTTAAATTTTGGTACTGGCAAGAAAAATTTAAAAAAAGAGAGAATCCGGGAAGACACCAAGAAAAACATAAAAATATTTTTCCCTAAATACTTTTTTTACAGTGAAGTACGAAAATGAAAATAAGCGTTTTATTTTATCAATTTGATTTATAGGTAATAAATAAATATAATGTCCTGATATTGAATTCGAATATAAATTCTATATTGTCAAAGGATCTTTAATTACAAGTAATATATAAATCCCGCGTTATGTGTAATTCTTGTCCCGATTTGGGGTTAAAAAGCGTTTTAAACCCACTTTTCATTTTTGGGTCCATTTTGGCCTTAATACTCTGGAAAAAATGGAGTTAGCGAATTTAATCTGAAATCTTTGACCAACAAATTAACGGCGTCCAAATAGTAATAAAGATTTAGAAAAGATATTTTCCAGTTTCGTCAATACAAAAGCTTTTATTAGAGTCTAAGATTTATCTATAATCTCTGCGTTAGTTTAAAAAAAAAATTCATACCCTGGTTTGGTTTATTTTAACTGGAACAAATAACACAACCTACAATCAAATGGGCCCAGAACAGCTGTTCCAGCGTCCACCAGCTGTAAACCAGTATATACATGTCGGGCGGGGAAATACAATTGACGTAACGATAAGTAAATTCATCTATTTTTTAACAATATCTCAACTGTCTTCGAGTAAATCCCAATGTTATTGGATTCAAAAGTCAACATCCAAAGGAGCATGGCTAACAAATTTCTGGCCCTGTGCAAGCTTTTACTTCAAACATGAATTTTGACCTGGAAAAATAAACCACACTATCCGATGAGATGCGGTAATTTTTTAGTTTTTAAAAGTCAAAAAAAACTTATATTGGCTCATGATAATTTAATCCTTTTTTCAATACGATTCGTAAAACGTAACATTTCGCATTAAACATTCCAAACCCAATACCTTCAAAAAAGTTTTTGTAAATGAAGCATCCATCAAGTGTAATTTATAAAAAATTCCATAAAATGGACAAGTTCCTATGCAGTGAATGGCTGGGGGTAACCCGAGATTATGAAAGTGGCATGGGAAAACATGTTGTTTTTATCCCCTTTGAAAATTGTTTTAATTATTATTGAATAGAAATTTAATAACCATTCTTAAAAAAAATTTCAAAATTTTTATTTTAAAATACAAGTAAATCATTTTATATGGGCAAGACATCTCGGGGTTACACATCCATTCTCATGGGACAGCCTACTAATAGCATTATTTATTAAATAAACACTTGATGGATTTATTATAATACAGATAATTTCGTTTAAGCGTTCAATTTGCCTTTAATTTCTTTAAAAATTTAACAATTTCAGAAACATATTAATTAGAATCTTGCAATTTTTATATTTTAAAAATAAAATAAAAATAAATCTTTATTTTAAAAAAGGGTTTTAACATTTAAAAATAACAATTTAAAAACCATTAACTTATTTTCCCAAAATGGGCCTTTCCGAAATAGAAAAACCAAAAAACAACAAAAAGGACATACATAGGAACAAATAATGTATAATAGTTTTTTTGAAATATAAAACTCATAAAATTTTCTACAGACAATTTTTTTTTACATATACTATATTTCCCTCAAATTTGTTTTGTTTGTTCCAAATTTGTTGTTTCATTTATTAATTAAATTTAAATTTTAAACATTTTATTCAATTTATTCATTCAAATTTTTCCACTCACCCTTCAAATTTATAGAGACGTTTCTAAAATTTTTATGACCCCTCAAAATTTAAAAAACCTTTTTAAAATTTAAAAAGAAAACTTTTTTTAAGGTATGGTTTTGGGAAATTTTTTGGGGCCCCAAAAAAAAAAGGGGGGGTTTACGTTTACGAAAAACGTTTTGAAAAAAAGGGTTAAAATTTTTCATAAAAAAATATAAGTTTTTTTTTTGAAAATTCAAAAAAAAATACCGCATCTATCGGATAGTGTGGTTTTTTTCATCAAATTTATGTGAAGTAAAGCTTTCACAGGGGGAGAAATTTTTTTAAACAAAGTTTTTTGGAAGGGCTTTTGAAACCCAAAATTGATTTTCTCGAACACAAATTTGGGTATTTAAAAAAAAAGATGAAATACTTATCGTACGTCAATTGGGATTTCCCCCCGCCGACAAGTTTTAACTGGGACAAACTTTGGGCGGGGGAAAAGCGTCTGCCCCTTTGATTGTACGGTGGGGTAATAAAAAATATTTTTGGCCCGGAATTTTTAAATTTAAAAAAGGGAAAAAATTTTTGAAAATTTTCAAAATGTGAACAAAAAAAGTAAATTACATGAACACTGACTTATTTTAAAAAAAAAAACAGCATCAGACTAAAATAACAAATTGAAAAAAAAAATCAGATTGCAAAAGTAGAAAATAAAGAATATTCATAAGATTGTTAAAAATGCAGCGCGTATATATCACATCTACACTAATTTATTTCTGCTGCTCTGGCTATTAAAGCGTTCAACGGCGCCTAGCTAGAACTGACACTGAAAATGTCATTGATAGGTATAGAATTCTATATCTTTTTTAATTATTTTTTGTTTGATTTTCACTTGTAGTCTATAGCCGGGCAAGCCACTTATTTGGGGTAATCTCAGGGGCAGGTAACTTATACATACGTCTAAATTATCTTTTTTCCTTTTGAAATATTTTTCAGTATATTTTCCCATATTTTCAACCAAAAAAATTCATGAATATTTCTGTTACCTTTTTCATAAGAGGCAGTTCTAATTCTTTAAAAATATACCATTTCAAAATCACATACCATTTTCTTCCATGAATGTCACAATTTAAGCAAAAGAAGAAATACTCGATATTCTGTTCTTTACCAGGTACAAATACAGAGAAAGTAAGCTAATAAAAATAAGAAATACTTTTCATGTTATAAACTTGAAAACGAGAACGGTGAGTGGTTTTCTCTAATGCAAAGTTTAGAACATTTTTAATTCTGACTTCAAATAGGTCCTACAGTTATTTCTTTTTAGTTTTGACTGTAAACTCTACTTATTTTGGATATGTGATTTTCTATTACTTAATTCATTTAAGTCGTTGGTTAATTAAATAAAGAAGTAATATTTTATCAAACGTGTTCAATAATTCAGTACTGAACCCTAAGCGATCATGTTACTGCACAGTCTGAGTTAAACCTGGAAACTTAAAGACTGTTGTTTTCTTATTTCTCATAATATGTTTCTTTTTTAACCAAATGTCAGATTGTTGGCGTCCACGCCGAAGCGCGACTCCCCTTATGGAACGAAATCAGATTTTGTGAAAGGGCAAATGCAACTTCTCGGCCTTTTCGTGAGTCATAATAGCCGATTATTCCAATTGGTATGAGAGTGTTTGATTATCTAAAATGAAAGGTCGCGATAAGTACAATGAATAGCGAACTGGAGATTTTCGCAATACAAACATATTTAATGAATAACGAACTGGAGAATTTTGCAGGAAATGAAATGCAAACATATTCAACAGTAGTGGAGGACAGCACTCCTTTGTCTATATAAAGCAGCGTTACCGTGGCAAAATCGGCGATGGTCGGGATTGACTGGATGAAACCGTGTCAAAACCGGGTCTTCACCGGAATCAAGCGGGAATACAGCGATTAAGCATTGGCGCTTATCGTATATATCCGGTGCTATATCGGGCTCTGAACTGGGCTCTGTCGGGGGTGGGTGTAAACGCAATTTGATTTTTCAGAAAAACACCACGGAACACCCCGGTTCACCGGCTTAAGACACAGTACGCGATACCGTGGCCGGCCAGTACCGGGACAGTGTTAATTTGGGCTTTATCAAACGGAACCTGCAATATTTTCTATTTTGCCGCTTTGGACTTTCTTTTTTCTCCATTTTATCAATGACTGATGTTCCTCACCACACATCTGAACAACTAAAGTATTCAAGGAAAATAAAGCACTCAAACCAGCTGATCCGGGGCCAAAAGACCAAACAATTTTCATACGGCTAACCAGTGACCTAACAATTTAGCTGATGCTCATGAAGTTTATACTTGAATGTCAAATATGATATCATTTAATTGTGGTTACCTTGTTTCGCTAATATGTTTGTTAATACAACCGCAGGAATTGCATTTAAATTTAATAGACTACAATGTACTGCAAATTTCAAAATGATAAAAGTTCAAATCTTATGTTTACTTGTAGCGTAAGCAATGGATTCT